TTATTTCTATTATTTAAACAAACATATTTGAATGAAAATATGCTACAAAAATATACACAATATATATATATATATATATATATATATATATATGTAATTATTTATTTGAAAAAAAGGACTGTCATGCCTGCTCACTTCAAGTTTTCTCAAGGTCTTCAAGAGATCGTCTCTCATTAACCAATATATATGAAACATTTCTCCAAGAATTCAAAAACGAATCTGCAACAATTAAAAAAAATAATTTTGGTGGTCAACTACTTGATCTAGAAGGGACATAAAAAATGTAATATTTTTACATAAACTGTTTGGCCTTTTGGAAATATATAATTCTCTCAAACAATGTATATTAAAAAAACACAACCTAGACAATTATACATTAAACAATTCTTACATTTTTAAAATAATAAGAATAATTTTTTTATAATTTAGCATTGAGCCATCACTTTTATATTTAAAACTTTTAACTTATTTTAAGATTTTTTGTAAATGGTCACTATTACTACTTATAATGCAAGACTCTCTCAGCTGATTGAGTTCCCTAAGTGACTCATGTGTTTATGAAAAAATAAATATGCATAAATTTGCCTTTCTCTCTGACAGGCATTAATGGCCTACATGTTAGAACCTCCAACTGATATCAAATTGGTCGAGTTTTGGTCCCTGCCTGAAGTGATCGGATGTCTAGCCACACTGATGAGCTGTGAGATAGCCAAACAGTCTGTCTGTGGATGATAATATATATATATAAGATTGCTGTTTAAATATATATATATATATATGGAATATTAGTGTTTTGCCTTTTTATTATATATATATATATATATTATATATATATATATATATATATATGACCATGGAATGATTGTCAAAAGCAAAAATGAAACCCAGGGTCACAAACTCACATCAATCCAACTCCATATGTTAGCTCTATCTCTGATATTGAGCACTTTCTAATAAGTACGTACATATAATATATATATATATATATATATATATATATATATATATATATATATATATATATATTTATTTATATTTATATACACAATTTTTTCACATATATATATTTTATATATATATATATATATATATATATATAAACAGCAATCTTTCTTTTATATATGTTTCATTGAATTTGAGAGAAAAGGAAATTTTCATAAGTTTTTAGTCATTTTTTTAATATTCTTACAATTTTCTTTTTTTTTGAGGCAAAAAGAATGTAGAAACTCTCCATAGTGATTATTGTCGCAAGGACTTTCAACCAATTCATTTCAACAGGTTCATTGTTAGTATATTTTCTTGTCTCTATGTTTTATCTGTCCCTATTTCTGAGATGAGGGATTTCGTCCATTGTACACTCCAGCCTTCTTCAGGATCTGTCTATATTTCTGATATGAGGGATTGCAATTTACATTAATTACATTGTTTGGACTGTTGTCCTCACCCTTATTGTCATGTTCACAACATTTCGGCCATTGTACACTCCGACCTTCTTCAGATGATCTAAATTTCAAACTGAACCCTTTATTTCGTCCACCAGGGTAGATTGTTCTAGTTACACATGCCATGCCTTTCATTTATCTCCCTTTAATTCGACTCCCCAAGTTTTTCCTGTTCATCTCTGCAGTAGGCAGGTATTGAACTCACAACTCTTTGAGTCAAGTCACTGGATCCAACCATTGCTTTTATCCACTGGGTCATGTGTCTTTCAGTTAAAGGGAGATAACTGAGACATCTGTAAGAAGCATGACATGTGGAAATAGAACAGTCTATCCCCATTGGACGAAATAAAGAGTTCAATTCAAAATTCTAATCACCTGGAGTGTACAATGGCCAAAACGTTGTGAACATAACAATAAAAATGTTTATGTTTTATTAAGTTTTATTGCCTAGAAGTAGTAGTAATTCTAAGTTGTGCTGGATGGAAGTAGAAGGAATTTCTTTTTTTATTTGAGATCTCCCCAAGCAAAGCAGTAAAGCTTCTAAGACACAAGGTGTTGATGGGTGTGGAAAAATCAAGAAACAGAAACAATACTAAAGAGTCAGTACAGTAGAAGAATAATCAGGTGGACAACAGATAGTGACTGACATTGCATTTAAATTTTTGAGGATTAAAGTTGGCTGGAAAGCATGGAGCTGGAAAGGAATTCTACACGCATGAAGTGTGAGAAAAGAAACTGGAATGTATTAGAGGTGTTCTGAAAGCACCCCAACATGGAATTACTATTACACCTATACAGCAAGTCTTAGAATTACTACTATTTCTATATAACAGTCTAATCTTTGATTTCCAATAGATGTTCTTGTCATTCCAACAGTTGCCATTATTTGTGCTGCTCTTGGAATTATTTTTAATCTAGAGTTCTCTTCACTGATAATCCCACCAAAATATTGGAATTGTTTCTCTGATTTGAGTTCTTAACCACCGACTTTCATCTTATTTGAAAGCTCTTTTCTCATTGGTTGTCATAAGATTAAAGAGTTCCAATTTTTTACCAACTAAACCATCCATGTCATCTGCAAAGCAAATTTTGTGATGTTTCAACCTCCTACACTGACTGTGCCCTGGAGTTCCTGAAGGGAATCACTGATGATGCATTTAAGGAAGATTTCTGTTTGTGATCAAATCTTCCTGAATGTTAAAACCAAATGACAAGTAAAATAAAACAAATAAAATAAACAAAAAATCTAAATCAAATACATAAATAAATAAATTAAGTAAAATAAATTATAAACAAATTAACAAAGTACAAATTTACACATAAACACAAGTAACTCTAAATGTAATAATAATAATCAACAACAAATAATTAAAGAATCAATAATAAATAATGAGTAAAAAAAAAGAAGCTAACAAACAATGCTATAAAATATTTACAAATGACCACAATTGAATGTTCAGTTATTTCTGCTCAATCGCCTCTAGGATAATTTGAAACGTAACCATTACTTCCCACACAATAACTGTAAGGATAATACAATAGACCTTGCTACCCATAATGCACCATTGACCAGCATATATAAATAGTAGAGCCAAAACACAAGATCCATGGCCTGAAGATTGAAACAGAATGTTGCCACAGAGAGGTGACGTCAATGTCCATTTTTATATTTATATATGCTCTATCCCTGATATTGAGCCCATTAACCTATAAATATAGCATATCTTAAAACTATATTTTTATCATACACACACACACACACACACACACACACACACACACACACACACACACACACACACACACACACACACACACACACACACAAACACACACATATATATATATATATATTTAAATAAAAACAGACCACTTTAAGATTCTATGTAATAAATTATTTCACCACAGCCCTTTTAAAAGGACTGCGGATCATCAGACTTTACTTCCAAACAAAAAAAAAAATGAAAATATATATATATATATATATATATATATATATATATATATGCACACACTAGGTCAAAATATATATATATATATGCACACACTAGGTCAAAAGTTTTAGAGCTGAGGCGAATGAAGAAAACAGTAACCAGCGAGTAAATTCAAGCTCTCCCAGCTGGTATTTCAACCTTGTGTCGTTCCTTCTTGAGTTCTGTCTCCAAATCACACTAACTGCCCGTTCTTGCCGTCAACCGTGAACGTCCCTCAAAGAACTCCCCAACTCTGAAAAAAGTAGTTGTTTTTATAATTGTTCATGTACCCATAATTCCTTGCGTCTTCATGTGATCCCATAATTCATTGCGTCCATGTCCCATAATGCATTGCATCGTTATTGCATAAAAATGCGATGTCAGTCCCCCCTCATTCTTTTACGTTATCTGGCCAAGGATGGATTACGGCAGAGCGGTAAGTGCTTTTTTCTCTCCCTCATTTCAACTGCAGTAGCTTTACATGCTAAACAAATACGGGCTCTTTTTTGGCGGGGACAAGGCAAGTCGCGAAGAGTTGTGCTCATCCCAGGTTCTGTCTCATGTCCGCCACAAGAGCATACTCTGGATTTTGAAGTATTGTCTGAGTTGACTTTCTCTTCCTGAAGGGTATTATTATATATTCATTATATAATAATAATAATAATTAATTTTAGTTTCCTTAAAATTTTAGCTCTTTTTTACTCTTTTTGCTTAATTTTAACTTGCTGGCTCATATTAATCTGGCAGATTTTAAAATTTAGATAACACCTCTTTAAAAAATTGTACTCCATGCACTAATAGGTTAAATAGTTTCCACATCCTAGCTTCATAGGAGTTAATTATACAAAATAGAAGGCATGAAACTTACTAAGTATTAAATCCAGAGGGTGGACCATTTCGCTTGTATTATATATGTATTGCATTTCATATATGTAGCTTTTTATATATCAATTTAATTTATTGTTTAATGTTATTCTACAATTTGCTGAAATATGTATCTGTTGAGTGTAACTCTTCTCTTTTAGAAGTTATAATTATCAAGAAATCAGTAGAAATAGTCAAGGAAGTACAGCATGGAACAAAAGATTTAGAAAGCAATGCAGTAGTAATGAGATATATACTTGGTGTGGTAACATGTGACATGTTCTTTTCAAGTGGTATCAAGTATTTCCTCATGTTATCATAGCAATGGAATATTTCATTACTAGTTTGACCAATAAATCTACACAACCTTCTTTTAAACATCTTTCAATAAATGTGACAGACAAGGAAAATTTTGTCAATTTTTTTATCTAGTTTCTCCAGCGTTCTTACAATTTTTCATTTGGTGTGAGTATGAGATTACAAAAACTGTCCATACCGTCCATTGTCCACTTGCTTAGCCATTTACAAGGGGGTTTTGTTTTGGTGTTGTTAGTTTCTCTTCATGTTTTGACTGTTTAAGGTGCATCATTTGTGTAGTTTTCAGATACTGGTAGGAGCATTTATTCTGAGCCTTTGTGTGTTTAGCATAAATAAAAAAGTTAATAACATTTTCTTTCTCGGAAAGGATTTTCTTTTTCTGAAATGATTTTCTTTTTCTGAAATGATTTTCTTTCTCAGAAAGGATTTTCTTTCTCAGAAAGGATTTTCTTTCTTGGAAAGGATTTTCTTTCTCAGAAGGGATTTTCTTTCTCGGAAAGGATTTTCTTTCCTGTAAAGGATTTTCTTTCTCTGAAATGATTTTCTTTCTCGGAAAGGACTTTCTTTCTCGGAAAGGATTTTCTTTCTCTGAAATGATTTTCTTTCTCGGAAAGAATTTTCTTTCTCGGAAACGATTTTCTTTCTCTGAAATGATTTTCTTTCTCTGAAATGATTTTCTTTCCTGGAAAGGAATTTCTTTCTCTGAAATGATTTTCTTTCTCAGAAAGGATTTTCTTTCTCGGAAAGGATTTTCTTTCTCAGAAAGGATTTTCTTTTGTCGGAAAGGATTCTCTTTCTCTGAAATGATTTTCTTTCTCTGAAATGATTTTTTTTTTTTCTTTCGGAAAGGATTTTCTTTCTCAGAAAGGATTTTCTTTTGTCGGAAAGGATTCTCTTTCTCTGAAATGATTTTCTTTTTCTGAAATGATTTTCTTTCTCAGAAAGGATTTTCTTTCTCGGAAAGGATTTTCTTTCTCGGAAATGATTTTCTTTCTCAAAAAGCATTTTTTTTCTCAAAAATGATTTTCATTTCCCTGAAGTCATTTCCCTTCCCTGAAAGGATTTCCTTTTACTGAAATGTTTTTCTTTCTTGTAAAATCATTGGGTTTTTTTTTAATCATTTTCTCTTGTTAAATTTTTTGTTTTTTAAACTTCCCTTGAAATCATTTTAATATTTGGAAATTTTTTTTCCGGAATAATTTCTTCTTTCCTTGACATTATTTTCTTTCTTTGAAATCTTTCTTTGATGTTCAGACATTGGATACAGAGGGAAATTGGAATTCATTTCTTTTTCAAAATAAGAATTCATTATTTCAGGACTCCTGGCTATATTTACCAAGTGCAGGCATATACATTTAGCCATTACTCATTTTATCTCTTCTCAACTGAAGGGCATGACTTCTTCACCCTTTCTTTGCATAAATTCTACCACAATGTCATAAAAGCTTCTTTCATGCCTACCATTTGATTATGAGATATTTGGAACATTGCTCTCCAATATGGGCTATATCACAAAATCCATAGGATTAATATCATGGTTTGATGGAGGGCAAATTAACTTGTCAAAAAATCCTTGGAAATATCTTTTGCAGTAGTTCTGTATCAAATGGGCCATCGGCAATGTCTTAAGTAAAGATATAGTGACAACCTGGAAAACATATTTCTCTCCAAAATTTATTAGTAAACTTTGCTATTTACTTCAATGAATACCAAGGGTGATTACAAAACATCAGAAGCGACACCATCGGCCTGAACCATGACACCAGGTGGTTTCTGTCACTTGAAATATGTGCTGACATCTTCTGGAATGTTTCCTGGTGAACCCCTATCATTTTGGTAGTTAACCACAGCCTCCACATTGAAAAAAATCTTCTTGTCTAACCAAATGAAGATATTGTCTGCAGCATACTGGATATTCTAGAAAATTTTCTTCTCATCCTGGATAAGACGTTAAACTACATCCGCATCCTGGTTAAGACGTTAAACTATGTCCAGCAGCAAGGCCTCTGATCAGAAGGTTTTGAGGAGCATGGAACCACCTCTTAATTGCTGGTGCTCCCAGGTCCACCCTGACTCAGGGTGGTAGCACCTGTTAGGGTCCAAGCTATGGGCAAATAGTTAACTATTACCAGCAATACTTTTTTGAAAAAAATTAACAGCAATACAATTTTGAAGGAAATATATTAACAGAAACAGATAAAATAAAAAAAATTGTTAGCATTAAACAACCCATTGAAGTTGATATGCCGTTAAACAAAATAAACCAAACCAATCTAAACCAAAGAATACATACTCTATTCATATGAATCTATCCTAAAAATGTTGTTGGCATTAAATAACCTATTGAAGTTGATATGCTGTTAAAAAAATAAACCAAAACAATCTAAACCAAAGAATACATATTGTATTCATACGAATCTATCCTAAAAATGTTGTCGGCATTAAATAACCCATTGAGGTTGATATGCCATAAAACAAAATAAACCAAAACCAAACCAAAATTTTATTCCCTCTACCAAGCTGTTTTTTGTTTGGAGGCACTTAAGAGCAGTTGAAATCTTGCCTAGTGATCAGATAACTGAGGTGAGCAGTGGCATAGTGGTTTTTGACCCCAGGAGTGGCCCCCAAGTTTGCCAACCTTCCCCAGAATGAATACAATATCACAATGCACATTAACCCCTAAAATTTATATATATATATATATATATATATATATATATATATATATATATATATATGTGTGTGTGTGTGTGTGTGTGTGTGTGTGTACCACAGTCAACTACAAAATTATTTGTAAACCCATCAATTTTGAATATTTTTATCCATTTCTCAGAAATTAATGCCTGTATGATGCCAGGTTTTCTCCATGTTTCTGTTAATATGGTATTTATAACTCCACACTGAAACAAATGTACAATTGTGTTTATTTATTTATTTTTTAAAAATAAAGCTAGGTATATGTAAAAAATCAAGACATTACTTCTTTTTTTCTAAATTGGGAAAACTTTGAAAATGTTTTGATATTAAAAGAAAGATGACTTGTTTTTGTTTATATACCCTTTGTTTTATTTAAAAAGAAAAACGAAAAAACACATTGTACTTTTAATTCATAATTTATCAGATTTTTTAAGATTTATTTCAATTCTGACAAGTGAGGAGTCATAAATTAAAAATACCATGTCAGCAGAAACACAGTTCATTTTTCTTTTAACAATGTAAAAAATACAGCGTCTTTTTAAATTATTTTGTTGTACACAGTTGAAGTTATTATTAGCAAAGTAGTAGACTAAGAATTAAAAGTCCAATAAAATTTATTTCACTTTTAAAACCTGAAATAAATGTTATCATACTTTTAATTCTTAGTCTATTTTGCTTAATAAAACTTCAAATATCTCAACAAAAACATAAAACATTGCATTGTTTTTGTTATGATGTTGATTTGGGGTTAATAAGACAAACGCCAAATAACACGTAACAATAAAAAGGGGTTTATTCGGTTGGTAAGTAGGTAGGTACAGAAATCGCCTGAGTAGTCTATAACTAACTCAGCCAAGAACTTCTCTGACAGTATTCAGTCTCCCCCCACTGGGGCAACATGTGACACAAGGTTGGTTTTTTATTGTGGGTATTCCCGAGCCCGTGGGCTCAGCCCAAAAATATGCCCGTTTGAACCCGTATAAACGGGTTCAGGGCCGGTTTTACCTCCCCGAAGGAGACTCCGCCCTTCAGCGTAGCCTCCTTTGGGTTCCTCTCCGTCCGGAGACAGAGAGGTGAACCGAACAGTCGCTCAAGAGTTGAGCGACTGACTCAAGAACTTCTCTGACTCTGTCTGTCTTTTGACATGCCACTATTTAACGTCTTTGCTTGTAGACAAGTTCATCTTTAAGAGGGGTGGTAGGTTTCCTACACAACAGTTTTACTACCGTGAAAACTTGTAAATTGAAAAACATGGCCATTTTTGGACTTTAAATATAGTTTCTGCATTTAAAGCAATATATTAATTTTCAATTTTCTTTTAAATTTCTGTTTGAAATTTCCAGAAAAATTAGAATGGATGTGATATCATTAAAGCATTGGAATTATTTCAATTTATGTGTCTATCTATTTTATAATTTATGAAAAGTAATGATTTTATATCTGTATTAAAGCTAGGCCTGTGATAAGATAAAAAAAAGGCAATTGGTTCACTTATTTATTTAATTTTTTCACTAACAGTTCACAGACATGAAAAATCAAAATCAAAGAACTGACGCCAAAGTCTGGACTTCTCACATTGGTGTGAAAAAACTGTGGATTCACTAAATTCACTTAATCCAACCCCACATCAAGCCCTTTAAAAATGTTCAATTTTTTTGCACCTTTTGTTCATGTCTTGTAAGTGGGGTTTATCCCCACCAGCTGACAGCATGTTTTGGAGACATTATTTTTTATTGCTGGCTTTGAGCCATCCATATCAAAGACAAATTGGTTTCATTTGAACCCTATCTTCTTGTTGTGTCGGAAACCTACCACCCCTCTTGAAGATGAACTTGTCTGCGAACAAAGACTTTAAATAGTGGCATGTCAGTTGACATGGGGAGAGATAGATAAGTTCTTAGCTGAGCTAGTTATTGACTACACAGGCGATTTCTGTACCTTTTTACCAACCTATTAAAACCCTTTTTATTGTTACGTGTTATTTGGCGGTTGTCTCTACTAACCCCAAATCAACATCATAACACTTCTTTATCGCTGCTTTTTTTGCAAAAATTATTGAAATGATGCTATTGTTTTTTTCTTTTCTGAAAATTCACTAAGGACCAAAAGTGCCGACCAGGACAGTTTTCCCTCCCCTAACTATGCCACTGGAGGTGAATTAGTGCTCTTGCTAAAGTAGGGACAGCCAAGATGGATTAAGATGTTTATCACACTTAGATACCAAGCCAGTCCAGAGTAGAGGTTAGAGCAACACATGTTGCAATCTGTTGTAGAGTAGTTTTCACAGTGGAGGCTTGTATTTCACTAAGTCGGTCCTAAACAAGGTTCGACGTACAAAACGTTAGAAACTTGAAATAATAGTTAATGACACAGCAATCTAGTTGTGGTGGTTGATACTTTAATGTCCGACATCAACTGACTCACCAACTCACTCTGAGCTCTGGCGACTGCTACTACTACTACTTATTATCTGTGGGAGAATCTATTAACAATAGAATAGGTATGTTCCGGTATAACACAATCAAAGTTTAGACTCACACTATGTGGAACAAAGATATGGTAGCTGATCACCTCATTTCACCTTAGATCAAAAGGTAGTAATCTTCATTGACTATAAATACTTAGCTCATAATATTATTTTACATTGTTGCATTTAATAAAAATGGTAAACATAGTTTGCTACTCTTCTTTTTATTTTCCTTTAGTACCTTGTATTTATTCTTGTTTGGGAACTTCTTGAGCCTTAATAAAATGACAATCCAACAAATTGGTGACCCCAGCATGATTTGAACATACAGACATACTTCTTCATAGATTTCTCTTCCTCCATTCCTGACAGCTTCAATGATTCTCCTTGGTATGAACTGAATGGTTTCTTTCTGGAATTGGATTTGCTCAGGGTGTTTGCTCATCTTGAAACTTTTTTCCCTGCATTAAAAGCAGATTTTCTGCAAATGTTTAATTGTTTTATTACCTTACAATTTTTCATACCAGCCATTTTCAATGTGACAATTTGATCTTGTTTTGTCTGAGCTGCCATATTTAATTAAACTCTAAACAATAAAACAAAAGAATTTTAAGAAGCCTTATTTTTATTACTATAAATTTTATTTTTAGTGAGAACATGGGTGTGAGTTGCTATTTTTGTCTTTTTTATTTTCTTAAACAGTGGAATTTAATAACAACCGGCTTAAATTGAGAAATCCTGCTAAAGAAAGATTGCGTTATTAATTTCAATGTTTAAGAAAATGAAAAAAAATGTAGATAGAATCTCAAACATGTGTATGAACTAAAAATAACTTTTATAGTAATAAGAAAAAATGTTAATAATGAAAAATCAATTCCAAAATTACTAGGAAGCCATATGACAAATTTGAAACTATTTTTATGAATAGGTTGTTTTTAACTATGCTCTTCTACCTTTCAAATGGCAATAATGGAGATTGTTAATGCTAATCTTCCCAAGGATTGAACTCTTCATCCTTAGCTAAGAAATAATGTTCAATTACCCAGTTTTACCTGCTAATTAAAAATAAGTCCACCCTTCTCCATAAAATCTTCTAACAATTTGTTCAGATTGTTGAAAAGATTCATTTGCTTCCAGGATTTATGCTGGGTAATTTCAGAGCTTAATCAGGTATGTTTCAATTTATGTTTAGGAAAAATGGTAGATATTTATGCTATACTCTGTAGTTTTGTTATGAACATTTTTTCCTTCCTTTGCTAAATTCATGTTCTTCCTTTCCTTGATCCTTTGATTTTCTCTTTTAAACATTTTCTTTCAAATGATGTTTTTTGAAAGCATTTTCCTTCCTCCAAAATAATTTTCTTTCTGTGAAATCATTTCCTTCCATTTTTGAAATTATATTCTTTATATGGAATTTTCTTTTTTTCACTAAGTTCTTTTCCTTCCTTTGAAATCATTTTTAGTTTTTCATTCACTCAAATCATTGCCTTTTTTTTTTTTTTTTTTTTTTTTTTTTTAAATTGTTTTCTTCCTCTGGAATCATTTTTCATTTTCTTTTGTTGAAGTCATTTTCTATTGGTGTGAATGTTCTTTCATTATGTTCACTTTCTGGTACTGAAATAATCTTACTTTGAAATCCTTTTCTGGCTTTACTATAAATTTTTGACTGTAAAATCATTTATATTTTTTCTCAAAAAAACATTTCTATTTGTGAAATCATTTTCTTTCTTTAAAATTATTCTTTCTTTTCTTTTTTGAAATCATTATCTTTTTCTTTTTCTTTTTTTTTTTGAAATTATTTTCTTAGTTTTTGGGCAGGGATTTTTTTTTGCATTTTCTTTTCTTTCTTTCTTTCCTCTTGCATTTTCCTTTCTTTCTTTCCTCTTGAATTTTCTTTTCTTTCTTTCTTTCCTCTTGCATTTTCTTTTCTTTCTTTCTTTCCTCTTTCTTTTTTTCTTTTCTTTCCTCTTGCATTTTCTTTTTCTTTTTCCTCTTGCATTTTCTTTCCTTTCTTTCTTTCCTCTTGCATTTTTTTTTTCTTTCTTTTCTTTCCTCTTGCATTTTCTTTTCTTTCTTTCCTTTCCTTTTCTTTTCTTTCTTTTTTCATTTTCTTTTCTTTCTTTCCTCTTCCTTTTCATTTCTTTTTTCATTTTCTTTCTTTCTTTCCTCTTGCATTTTCTTTTCTTTCTTTCTTTCCTCTTGCTTTCCTTTTCTTTTCTTTTCTTTCTTTCTTTCCTCTTGCATTTTTCTTTTCTTTCTTTCCTCTTGCATTTTCTTTTCTTTCTTTCCTCTTGCATTTTCTTTTCTTTCTTTTTCTTTCCTCTTGCATTTTCTTTTCTTTCTTTTTTTTCTTGCATTTTCTTTTCTTTCTTTCTTTCTCTTGCATTTTTCTTTTCTTTCTTTCCTCTTCATTTTCTTTTCTTTCTTGCATTGCATTTTCTTTTCTTTCTTTCCTCTTGCATTTCTTTTCTTTTCTTTCTTTCTTTTTCTTTTTTTTTTCTTTCTTTCTTTTCTTTCATTTTCCTTTCTTTCTTTCCTCTTGCATTTCTTTTCTTTCTTTCTTTCTTTCCTCTTGCATTTTCTTTCTTTCTTTCCTCTTGCATTTTTCTTTTTTTTCTTTCTTTCTTTCTTTTCTTTTCTTGCTTTCTTGCATTTCCTTTCTTTTCTTTCCTCTTTCATTTTTCTTTTCTTTTTTTTCTTTCATTTTCCTTTCTTTCTTTCCTCTTGCATTTTCTTTTCTTTCTTTCTTTCTTTCCTCTTGCATTTTCTTTTCTTTCTTTCTTTCTTTCCTCTTGCATTTTCTTTTCTTTCTTTCTTTCTTTCCTCTTGCATTTTCTTTTTTCTTTCTTTCTTTCTTTTTTCCTCTTCCATTTTCTTTTCTTTCTTTTTTTTTTCCTCTTGCATTTCTTTTTTTTCTTTCCTTTCTTTTCTTTTTTCTTTCCTCTTGCATTTTCTTTTCTTTCTTTCTTTCCTCTTGCATTTTCTTTTCTTTCTTTCTTTCTTTCCTCTTGCATTTTCTTTTCTTTCTTTCCTCTTTCCTCTTTCTTTTTTCCTCTTGCATTTTTTTTCTTTCTTTTTCCTCTTGCATTTTCTTTTCTTTCTTTCTTTCCTCTTGCATTTTTCTTTTCTTTCTTTCTTTGAATTTTTTTTTCTTTCTTTCTTTTTTTCTTTTCTTTTTTCTTTCTTTCTTTCCTCTTGCATTTTCTTTTCTTTCTTTCTTTCCTCTTGCATTTTCTTTTCTTTCTTTCTTTCCTCTTGCATTTTTTTCTTTCTTTCTTTCTTTCCTCTTTCCATTTTCTTTTCTTTCTTTCTTTTTTTTCTTTCTTTCTTTCCTTTCTTTTCTTTTCTTTCTTTCCTCTTGCATTTTCTTTTCTTTCTTTCTTTCTTTCCTCTTGCATTTTCTTTTCTTTCTTTCCTCTTGCATTTTCTTTTCTTTCTTTCTTTCTTTCCTCTTGCATTTTCTTTTCTTTCTTTCTTTCCTCTTGCATTTTCCTTTCTTTCTTTCCTCTTGCATTTTCTTTTCTTTCTTTCTTTCCTCTTGCATTTTCTTTTCTTTTTTCCTTTCCATTTTTTTTTTCTTTCTTTCTTTCCTCTTGCATTTTTCTTTTCTTTCTTTCCTCTTGCATTTTTTTTTCTTTCTTTCCTCTTGCATTTTCTTTTCTTTCTTTCTTTCCTCTTGCATTTTCTTTTCTTTCTTTCCTCTTTCATTTTCTTTTCTTTCTTTCCTCTTGCATTTTCTTTTCTTTCTTTCCTCTTGCATTTTCTTTTCTTTCTTTCTTTCCTCTTGCATTTTCCTTTCTTTCTTTCCTCTTGCATTTTCTTTTCTTTCTTTCCTCTTGCATTTTCTTTTCTTTCTTTCTTTCCTCTTGCATTTTCTTTTCTTTCTTTCTTTCCTCTTGCATTTTCTTTTCTTTCTTTCCTCTTTCTTTCCTTTCTTTCTTTTTTCCTTTTCTTTCTTTCTTTCTTTCTTTCCTCTTTTTTTTTCTTTCTTTTCTTTCTTTCATTTTCTTTTCTTTCTTTTCTTTTGCATTTTCTTTTCTTTCTTTCCTCTTGCATTTTCTTTTCTTTCTTTTTCTTGCTTTTCTTTCTTTCCTCTTGCATTTTCTTTTCTTTTCTTTCCTTCCTCTTGCATTTTTCTTTTCTTTCTTTCCTCTTTCATTTTCTTTTCTTTCTTTCTTTCCTTTCATTTTCTTTTTTTTCTTTCTTTCCTCTTGCATTTTTTTTTTTCTTTCTTTCTTTTCCTCTTTCTTTTCTTTCTTTTCTTTCTTTCTTTCCTCTTGCATTTTCTTTTCTTTTCTTTCTTTCCTCTTGCATTTCCTCTTGCATTTTCTTTTCTTTCTTTCCTCTTGCATTTTCTTTTCTTTCTTTCTTTCCTCTTGCATTTTCTTTTCTTTCTTTCTTTCCTCTTGCATTTTCTTTTCTTTCTTTCTTTCCTCTTGCATTTTCTTTTCTTTCCTTCTTTCTTTCTTTTTGCATTTTCTTCCTTGTCATTGATAATATTGATTCTCAACAATAGTCATTCCTGAAACTTACCTGACCATGTCTGTTAGAGCATCAACCATTTCCAATAACAGAGGTTTTCTCTTTCCCTGTGCTGTGATTCCTGTTTCTCAATACTTAGCATCTGAAAGGGATGTCTTTCACTGTTCTAATGCATCTGCAGTTTTTGGTGTCATATTTTTCGTCCTCTGTTAAAAAAGTCAAATCTTCCTAGACATTTAAATTTTTTTACTTACTTGATTTTGGTCTCTCAAAATTGGCATTTGTATCTTGATTTCTACCTTTGCTAACAACTATCCTTTCTGTCTTCTTACAATTGATGTTTAGTCTTTTCTTTTCATTTTATGACCTTCTGTAATAGTTCTGCTATCCAATATCAACACTGTGTCATTTGAATATCATATTATGTTAACATGTGGCTGCCAATAAGGAATTCTAGTCAGATGTAAGTTAAATGTCTGAAACATTTTTTTCTCCTTCTGTGAAGATAAACCTTAAATGTTCACCATCCAATATTTTTTTAGTTCTTCATAATAAACTATCAACTGAAAGAACATCAATGACATTATTCAAACTGTTAATACTCCATAACTAATACCTTAATATTATTCATATCTCTGTCTCTTGCAAAATGAACCTGTGGTAATGTATATAGAAATTTGAATGTACATGTGAACAATAAGTGCTATTTTCCATTTTTAAGGAAAGGAAACAAACTCTGTTAACTCATTTGCATAAATAAACTCTTATAATTATAATTCCTTCCATCACCTGTTTTAAGTGCTACAAAAGGTCTGTGTAGGATTTTAAATATCTAAGAATTCTTACATGATTCTCTTTTTAGCCTTAATGTCACTTTCCCTGAGGAGGTTTAACAGAACTCTTCCTGATGATCAATTTATTCAACAGGAGGGTAATAACTTAGAATATATCTTTCACTGAAATCATTTGCTTTATTTGAAAATGTTCTTTCTTTGAAATCATTTTCTGTATTCATCTATAATCAATTTTCTCTCTTTATTTAAAATATTCTTTGTTTGAAATCATGTTCATTCATTGAAATTATTTACTGTACTTCTCTAAAAATTTATTTGCTGTATTTGAAAATTTTCTTTGATATAATTTTCTGTATTTATCTACAATCAATTTTCTTTCTTTATTTAAAATGTTCACTCTCCAAAATGATTTTCTTAAATCTTAAAATTATTTGATTTCTATAAAATGATTTTATTTCTATATTGCGAAAGTTAAGCTACAAAACTAGAATCTCTCTTCATCTCATTCATTCTTTCACCTTTCGTGTTTTCTGCCTTTTTTTATTCATCCATTTTCAACCTAACTCCTCTTCATTTTCTTTTTATCTAAACATGAGATTTCTTTCACTTACTCTTAGATTCCTTTCCTTCTCTCTCTTGACCATTTTCTACACCTATCTTTTCATTTTTGCCACAATTTTCCTTCAAATTAAAAAATATCTTTCACCTCTTTTGGCTTTCTTCAATTCAATTTCTTTACTATTTCATTTTCTTTTTCTCATATTCTAATTCATTATCAGTTTAAAATATTTAAAAATAACTATTGGATAAGATATTATGACGGCTTGTAGAATATATGTTATTGGCAATGGGAAAAGATATGATAACTAGTCGAATAAATAAAAATGGCTATTGAAGAAGATATGATAATGGCTTGTAGGAGGATAAATAAAAATGGCTATTGAAGAAGATATGATAATGGCTTGTAGGAGGATAAATAAAAATGGCTATTGAAGAAGATATGATAATGGCTTGTAGGAGGATAAATAAAAATGGCTATTGAAGAAGATATGATAATGGTTTGTAGGAGGATAAATAAAAATGGCTATTGAAGAAGATATGATAATGGCTTGTAGGAGGATAAATAAAAATGGCTATTGAAGAAGATATGATAATGGCTTGTAGGAGGATAAATAAAAATGGCTATTGAAGAAGATATGATAATGGATTGGAGGAGGATAAATAAAAATGGCTATTGAAGAAGATATGATAATGGATTGCAGGAGGATAAATAAAAATGGCTATTGAAGAAGATATGATAATGGCTTGTAGGAGGATAAATAAAAATGGCTACTAAAGAAGATATGATAATGGCTTGTAGGAGAATAAATAAAAATGGCTATTGAAGAAGATATGATAATGGCTTGTATTAGAATACATTAAAATGACTATTGGACAAGATATGTTGAGGGCTAGTTTGAAGGTTCTTGACATAATCTGGTCTCTTCCAATTCTCATCTTTTGATTTGACCAGAGCTAGTGTTACTGAAATACTGAAATTGTATCTTTTTATTTTCTTTGATCAGAATAAGATCAAGATTTCTATGTGCCATATCTCTTCAGAACATTGCCGATCGTGGCTCTTCTGCTGTCTTTCTTGCCTTCAATATGTCCTGAGTGTCATTTTTTCCAACAACTTGTGTCATTTTTTTTCCAAGTCTTATTTCATTAAGAAAAATTCAGTAAGTTTTGTTGGATAAAACTATACTATTTACATTATTCGAACTATTGTCCCCATCTTTGTTGCCATATTTATCACAATGTTTCAGCTGTTGTACACTCTGGCCTTCTTCAGGTGGTTGAAATGTTGAACTGAACGCGGGGGTAAACTGTTCTAGATCCACAAGCCATGTCTAATGGATGTCAGTTATCTCCTGTTACTTCACCTCTCCAAGTTCTTCACTGCCTTAGTCAGTTAGTGGACTCACAAGTCTTTGGTTCCTGTCACTGGATCTAACCAATGCCTTTATTCACTGTGCCATGTGTCCTGAAGGACATCTGTGTATGAATTTCTGGGAGTTATAAACTTAATGTCTTCAGCAACCATTTTTACCAGTGCTCATATTGCAATTTTTGCTGTTATCATAAATGTTTTCTACCAGAGATTATATTACAATTTTCGTTGTTATTATTGATTTTCTCTAGCACTCCTTATTACTGGTTCCCATATTGTATTCATTTCTATGCTTGGTCAGCTCAGGAGATTTTTGTGGCCTAGCATATGGATAAAACTAAATGAAGAAACACTGAAATTATAATTCCATCCTGAGAGTCATCAGGCCAAAATATACAATACTTGCAGTTTGGAAAACACTATTTTATAGGATGGCATAAGGATAGAAAATTAGAACTGACCTTAAAGAACTTAGTTATATTGAAGTTTTTATATCATTTTCTTTGTTTTTACAACAAACTGAGTTCTACTTTAAAACTTCTAATTCATTGTTTAAAAGTTTTCAGATAGAAATTCAAAGGATCTTTCATCATTTGATCTGATTTGAAGATCTTCAATCAGTTTTATACTACTTTGGCCTCATTCCGTCATTCACTATACTAATTTGTTTTGTAATACTACCATGTATCACTGAATTGGCTACATTTATAAATGGAATAATTTGTTCACTAAGAACTTCATGGCATCAATTTGATTGCTGTGTCAGAATGGTTTCTTAAAGCCTCTGTTCACTGGAGAATATAATTAAAGTCACTTGGAATAATAATGTCAGTAATCCAGACAGTTTAATCCAGAAACAGAATGTCGAGTTTAGCAGAGATACAATTTGATGGCTATTTTGGGAAGATAGTTGCTGAACAAACTAGCCTTGTGAGGTGACTACATTTCTAGAGAACACGGTTAGGAACAAACTTAATGCTAAACTAACGTTGGCACAAGGTTATATTTGTAGAACACTCAGATGTAAAAAAAAAAAAAAAAAATTAATAATGAATTTTTGTATAAGGAAGCATTGGCACAAGGCCATTTGTTTTGATTATGATAAAAACTAACCCAATAAGAATGTATTGCAAATAAATTGACAAAAACTGACCTATCAGAATTATTTCTATTTCAGAGATTATAGATGAGGTTTTTGCATTATTATTTCATATATTTTTTTTTTTTTTGTGTTGATTGGTTGTGTCTATGTGTATGCATTTTCTTTGATAGTTTCTGAGTGTTGTCTTCATGTGTCAGTTTGTTTCATGGCATTTTACATATACACACACACACACACACACATGTGCAAATAAATATAAGTGGACACTGAGGTCACCACCCAGTGGTAGCACACTATTTCATGCTTAAATGCAATTGTCAGGCTTGTTGCTGATAAGTGTTGACCTCAGTGTTTATATATATATATATATATATATATATATATATATAGCATTCTCTTTTCTCTAAAACTTTATCATTGCTCACATATTCAGTTCATGGTGTTTTCAGTATCCTTCTTTAGAACCATATTTCTGTTGCCTCAAGTCTCCTCTTCATCTGTGAGGTGATTACCCAGCATTCATAGCTATACAAGACAACTGATATTACATAGCATTACAACACTCTTTGTTTCTATTAAAATTTTCTTGTTAAAACTTTGTTTAGCTCTTGGAAGGCAGCTTTTGCTATTCCAATGTGTCTTGAAATTTTGGTGTCAGGCTGGTTGACATTAATTTTACTGTTTAAACAACATCATATATATTAACATAATACTCATAGTAGTAAGAAATAGCAATGATTAATTTCACCATATGATAACAATAAACTTTTAAGGTATGCTATATTTATGGGGCAAATGTGCTCAGTATCAGAGCTAGACCATAGGTAAATATAAAAGTGGACATGAGGTCAACACCAAGGGGTAACAGTATGTTTTGTGCCTGAATGCAATCGTCAAGCCTAAAGATTATGATGAATTAAGCATGAATGAAAACTATAAAACTAATTTTATATAATGTGTGTGTGTGTGTCTATGTAAACTTAACTTTTTTAGAGTGAGTAGACATGGTTAAGTAAATGGCATAACTGCCCAACAAACAGAATTAACAAAGAGGGAAAATTATCAGGAGATAATTGATAACTGAAATCCATTAAACATGGCACGTGGAACTAGAACAGTCTACCCCAGTGATTGAAATAAAGGGTTCAGTTCGAAATTCCAACCACCTGAAGAAGGCCAGAGCATACAACGGCCGAAACGTTGT